TTATGATGAAAACGGTTTGTGATTTAGACTTATAATGACTCTTAAGTCAAAATTATTTGTCTAAGACATAAATGACTTTCAAGGGCTTAAAGATACCTTAAAAGAATCCAAAAACTACATTATATGACAGCAAAGCAACTCTCTATGTCACACAAAAATTAGAAGTGTCATCATAACAATCATTGAGCAAAGAAAAACTTTAAAAATGAGATCTCCTATAGCTTCACATTAACAATGAGGGAATTAGGGGGAACATTAAAAAATCAAACAATTAGGTATGAATCTTTAGAAGATCAAGGACAACACATGATTCAACACTGCCCACATCTATAGGTATTTATTTACTTTATACTTGATACAGAATTTACGACATTTGCGTCATCAATATTTGAAATATTATATGAAAGATTTTTCTAACCTCTCCTGACAAACTACGATTAAGCCAAAATGATCGACGAATAGAGAACCAACTACTAAGAAAGAGAAATAACAAGGAACCTCCAAAGCTAAAAGTTATACTTAAAAGAGAGGTTTGATATAGAATATTGAATCACCTCTAAAAAAGGAGAGATTATTAGGTGCGGAGTGCGGACAAGAAGAACCGTCCGCACACAAGTATAGGGTACCCAGCTAGGTACCACTCAGTACCGTTGGATACCCAGTACTTGTGCTGATGGTGCACATTCAGCACCTAATAATTTTTCCTAAAAAAGGGTGCACATTATCTAGAAATCAAATAACTTATCAATAAGATGCATGAAAAACTTGTTATAGTCATATGAAAAGAACATCATTATTTCCTTGCCTTAAGTTTGATAAACAAGATCGAATCGCCTCCAAAAAAAGGGTTCACATTATCATTAGATCAAATGACTTGCCAATAAGATGCATGGAGAACTAGTTAGGAAGTTTGGAATAATACCAAGAGAAATATGTTGAAGTTGAGAAAATTTTATGAGGCTGCGTGGAGCGCAAAAGTTCTCGCGAAGAATTAAATATTATAATTATTTGCTCCTTCATCAAGAGGAATATTGTTAAGTAGTCAAAATACCAACTTAGACACAACTTCCCGAAGTTTAACACGTGATTTCTACAAGTTTAACACATTAATTTCTACAAGATTAATACATGATTTCATATAAATTTTTTCACAAATTTAAAAATAATAAACCTCTCTTGCCTATATAAAAGGATGTCTTAGTAGAAGGAGAATGAACATAAAAAACTCAAGGGGGGAAAAAAAGAGTGACTAAAAAGATAACTAAAAGAAGTGGGAAAACTTCTTCCACCTCATATCCTATAATGGTATACTTTATCAACTAAAAGATCATCCTACATAAATTTTCTCATGAGAATCATATGATGTTGGTGGATGAAGATTTATAAGAGGATTCTAGCCCACCAACTTGTTCATGGGACCAATATGAACTATTAGTATAGAATAATAAATCCCAGACTTGACTTATGAAGAGGGACACCCACAAAGATAGTCGGCCTAACACTTACAATAAAGCAAGTCATGATAGTAGCTCCATTAGGCATAAAGCACAATTATATAATTCATAACATACATAGATAAGGAATCCACAAGAAGCAATCAATCACTTGCGGCATAATCTAGCTCACCTTCCAAGGCATTCAAAGCATACTAAGTAATAGTTGGAATCCCTCCACCATAATAACTCATTTCAAGAATAATATCATTGAAGGGATGATCAAGTTCACCGACAAGCAACGAATCTGGCAAGCGGGAGCAGGGTGGGGGGTTCGATCTGGCCTAAACCAGTTGAACCTAGCAATTCTGTTGGGCGGTAAGCAGAGCAGCAAAGAGGGAGTTTAGCCCACCTTGTGAGGCCCAACAAAGCTATAATCCTTTATGTGAGGAGGAATCAAGGGAGAATGTTAGTAAAGTTTTATAATTAGGAAAAGATATCAAATTTGAATTCAAATTTGATGGGGAACTATTTGGGAAAAGGGAACTTAATTAAAGCTAACAATATTGTATTTTGGGGATTATGCTTGTGTTTGCTGAAATTAGGATTTCTTAGGTTGCGAGGACTCTAGCCGGCGGCTAGGAATTTGGGAGAGCCGAATCTTCCTCTCCAATTTAAGATCCAATTGTATATTGCAATTTTCTTTCATATAGCAATAAAAAGATTTGTGGTATGCTCTTGTTCGCAATTTCTTATTGTTGTTCGTTGATTTTGGCTAAAATTACATATAATTTCTATCAAATTGGTATTAGAGTGGTGTTTTGGGCCGAATTATAAACCTTCATCGTTGATTTCTGCTGCATTTTTCTCTCTGATCTTACTGATTTTGACTGTTTGAAAACCAAATTAGCTATTGGCTGTTATTTTGTGTTTGGAATTTATATCCACGTACCTATGACAGGGAAAAGGGCAAAAGTGTTGGAATGGAACATCAAACAACTGAAATATGAAATTTCATATTTTCAAACTCAAATTTCAGCCATCCACGAGAAGATTGATGAGAAAGTTACCATCATCGAAAAGATGATAAAGTTTTTAGAGGGCCAAACCAAAACATCATTGTTAGAGGCGAGGGAAGTTGTGGGCAGCTAAGGGAGTGGGGAGAGCCCTAATCCAATGAGGAGAAGGGAAGAAAAAGAGGTTGAGATCTTGGAGGGAGAAGAGAGAAGACCTACTATAGTGCTCATTCCTAAGGAGGATATAGGTAGACCATATGAGGAGAGGCGTGAGGGGGTTAGGTATTAATGAAGGGGTGCTGAATTTCATAGAAGAGGGGTTGATTATGATAAGATATGTGCTGATTTTCAAAGAACAGAGGGTTTTAATAAAGGGTTTGGGAACGAGCATAGAAGGAATGACCAGAACACTAGGGGGGACCACTTGGAGAATGGGAGATTGTGAGAAAACATGGGGAACAGAGAAGATCCGAGAGGGAGGAGGTTGAAGATGTCTATTTTTTAGGAAGATGATACACATGGGTGGATCTACAAGATGGAAAAGTACTTTGTTGTCAATGGGTTGATGAAATAGAAGAGACTAGTGGCAACTGACCTATACTTCGAGGGAAAAGCATTGGCATTACACCAGCGGAGAGATATGATGTAGCCCATATAGATATAAAGGAAGTTTAAGGATTGTCTATTGGAACATTCCAAACCAGTAGGAGAGGGGACATGTATGAGTAGTTCTTCGCTCTAACACACGAGGGGATAGTGGTGGAGTACCGTGAGAGGTTTGAATACCTTGCCAGCCGATTGAACTGGCTATCAAAAGTTGTACTAGAGTAAACTTTTTGAAAGGGCTCAAACTAGATGTTCGAGCTGCAGTTAGAGTGATGAGGCCTCATGATTTAGGAGAGACTATGGAGCTAATCCAATTAGTGGAGAACTAGAAGCACCTAGAGAGAGGGGCTAGAGGCAACAGTTTAGGAGGTTCGTAAAGGATGACCACCACCCTTTTGGCAGCCAAGGAGCAAACAACAAGTTTTCCTTGGAAAAGCCTGAAGGAGAAAATTGTAGGAGGGGGAACTGGGGGAAACTTCAAGAAGCTCATTAAGACAAAATCACATAAGAAGAGGGCAAAGGGGATGTGTTTTAGATGTGATGAGAGGTATAAATTGGGGCACATGTGCAAAATATTGAACTCTTCAGGTTCTCATTGTCTGTGATGACAAGAAAACTAAGGGAGGTGAGAGTGAGGTAGTGGTGGAGGAGGAAGAAGAGATGCATTTAGATGTAGCAGAGATCTCCTTGAGCTCAGTGGTGGGATTCACTCCAAATCACATAATGAAAGTAAAAGGTGACATATTAGATAGAGGTAGTGGTGCTGATAGATAGTGGGACTACCCATAATTTCATCTTCAACCAGATTGTGAACCAATTGGGGCTAATTATGGTGGACTAGGGTATTATGGGGTGATGATGGGCGTAGGGAAGGTGAAGATAGGAAAAGGAATGGGTAGAGGGGTGGTTCTGATCATACAGGGGTTCTAGGTGAGAGAATACTTCCTTCCATTAGAGTTAGAGGGCACTGATTTCATCCTGGGGATGAAATGGCTGAAGATCTTGGGACACTAATGAATCAGTTGAAGAAGGCAATAGGAGATCACACATCATCTTCACTACCCCCGAGTCTGACAAAAGGCATGGAGGTTATTTTGGAGCCCCTGGAAGTAGAAGGGGTTTGTCGAGGGAAAACAGGGGTATAGGAGGTATTAATCAAGCTGAAGGATTTGCTAGAGTACGAGGCCACATGCCATCCATACGAGATGATCAAGAGATAACTCCCACTCTTGCACCTTGAGGGCAAGGTACATCTTTGGGAGGGGAAGGGCTCTCTTTGGCCCAGACTAGCTGAACCCAACAATTCTGCTGGGCGGGAAACATAGCAACAGAGAGGGAGTTCAACCCCCCTTATGGGGCCCAATGAGCTATAATCCTTTATATAAGGAGAAGGAATAAAAGTAGATTGTTTAGGAAAATTTTAATTACAATTGAGAGAAAGTTAATTTGGAAAAGATATCTAATTTGAATTCAAATTTATGAGGGAACTATTTGAAAAAAAGGAGCTAATTTGGGAGGGAATTCATGGGAGGCTATTTAAGAATAATAATATTATATTTTAGTGATTATGCTTGTGATTTTTGAAATTAGAATTTCTTAGGTTGCGAGGGATCTAGCTAGTGGCTAGGGATTTGAGAGAGCCGGATCTTCCTCTTCTATTGAAGATCCAACTGTATCTTGCTATTTTCTTTCATATATCTTGCAATAAAAAGATTTGTTGTGTATTCTTCTTCCCAACTTTTTATTGTTGTTCATTAATTTTGGCTGAAATTGCATCTACTTCCTATCACAACTCTCCATTAAGACCACCACCAATTAAAGGCTGAGAACTAGCCTTATATTTGTCCTCCACAAACTCAAGAAAAACAACCACCTAAATGATCAATAAAAATGGAGCATTGACCAAAGAATTAACTCCCTGAAGAAAATGCATGATCCTTTATAGGAGTCTTCAAATTCTTCATCAAGTTTAGGCGAAGCTAAGCAAAAAAGAAGCTTTATGATCTAAAATTTTAGAATAGAGAAAGATATCGAATCTTTAAAGACAACTTATAAAGAATGACAATTCCGTTCCAACCAAATCCAGTTTTTATTAACCATCTTGTGTTGTTTCCATTTCCATTAAACATAAGCTATGGAAGGATGATAAAAGCAATATATTATCTTGAAAATCTGAGGGGGATTATCAAAAACTAAAAATAAGAGATATCAAAATATCATAATTAAGCAAATGACCTTTGAGGAGGTGTCCAATCCAATTGGAGCAATAGCAAACTCGCCATGGAATCAATTTAAGAGTCCTGATAAAAAAATCAGACATAATAGATCTAACAAGACAATAATCAAGAATAATTTTCCAAATCCTAAATGAATTAAAATATGGCAAGCCTAAGAAAAGGGTCATGAGAGATTAAGATCAAGTAAAATTTTTTTAATCTCCTCCACATGGGGAGAATTTATAAATGAAGGAAAACTATAAGGTCCTAGCCAAAGATATAATTTCTCATTGAGATATAATATTAAGATTAGTGATAGATTTAATACCAATAAAAATATAATCAATAGGAGATTGAGGTATCACCCTCAAAGCTTCACAAAAAATCTCTTGAATAGACCAATAAAAGTTCAATGTATCCTACACAATAAGAGAATGAACCATTATAGAAGATGACCCTAACAAGGCAGCAATACCATAAAACACCAAATTGAAGGAGTAGAGAGGACATAGCATGGTGTCAAATGATCATACTCAAAGGAAACCAAGAAAAAGCCACCCACCAATGATCCCCAAGCTGATCTTCCTCAATGAGCTGGCGCTAAAGCAAGCAGGTTGAATGAAAAGGATGAAGTAAGCTAAGGCATCAATGGAAAACGACAGCAAGGTAAGGCAAAGTTGGGCAACCATGAGTTGGGAAATGGTTATGCAGGAGAAAATGGGCAGCGCAAAATAAATCAAGCAACCAAGGATTGAATGACACATATTGCAAAATAGAGGTTGCAATAGCACCTACATCCCTTGGGATTTCAATACATTATAGGAGATTTGAGATGTTTAGAATGCCAGATTTTAGAACAACTTGCATCTAAAATTGCATTCATGAAGAAAGACCAAGATGCAGGATTTTAGTTTAGAATACCAGATTTAAATACAAAGTATTCAGGTGAAAAACATAATAGAAACATCATGGAAGCATACGTAACAAAGTATCAATTTCAATCAAAGAGTTTCAATATCTATAGCAGGCTAATCATACCTTCATGTTGTGCCTGCTCCTTTGATTTATTTGTAGACTGTTATTTGCCTTCCAAGCTCCTAGTTGCATGTAGAGAATCTTACCTCACAAATTCAATGCAACAATTTGTTTCATGCAGTTGATCGAATGCTCTTTCCATAGGAATGTGTATTTTCAGCAAGCATGTAATTTGATCTTACACTCTCAAGAAGCGAGATGTAATAGAAGTCTTCCATATGCTGCATAAGAGCAGTCCCATCTCTGATTGATTGAAGAAGGTTTATCTCAGTCTGCAATATCTTCTCAATGAGCTGCTTTTCACCTTTCATAAACTCACTAACAAGAACTTCTGGTGTAGCCTCTCCAATCACATCTCCCTCATATCCATCTCCTCTGAAGTCTCTATTTAGCATGGCCTTCTCTAAATCTCCAGCTGCAAGATAAACAGGTTGAGCTACGTGGCAATAGCCCATCAGGCGTGGGACCGTAGGAATAATATCCCTATGGTTCACAACTCTCCAGCTATCTTTGACCTTTTCATTGTATATATCAGCAAATCTTCTATTACCAACTCTTGGAGAACCAAAATTATACATTGTAACTGAAATCATACCATGCTTTGCCATTGGACTTGTTGAAATCTCTAAAGCAAGCAGTGTTGCAAGCGCACCACCTAAACTATGCCCTGTAACGTAAACATTCCACTTTGGCATGCTCTCTAAATGATGTTCTTCATGGTAACCTATTGCAAGCTTAATAAGCATCAAAAGTCTGTTTCGAACAGAATCGTAAGCATTCAAAAATCCACCATGAACCTGCACTTCCTGTTTGAAGTCTCCACCTAATCTCTCAGGATTCAACCCAGCTGGTAAGAACATTAAATCAGTTAGCAAATCCTTCCACTTTGCTTGTTCAGTGCCTCTGAAAGCAACAACCAATCTTCTTCGAACCGAATCACGCCAGATAGCTACTTGAGTGTCTGTAGAAACATTATCAAGAAAGCATATCTTCTCAAATTCTGATTTAATGAAGCTTGACCGACCCAAGGAAGTGGCGAGCATAGCCCAAGCTTCCATAGCACTCTCAGCACTAGAAAATAATTCCCGCATCTCCTTCGCTCCTTTTGTACTTAATGTGATTCCTTTGTTGGAGCTATCACTCCCTTTTTTATTTGAAGGTCCTTCATTCTTATCGTCATCACCATTTTTTATTTGATTATCCAGTGACATTGAATCATCTTTCTGTTTAGAAAAGGTCTTTGCAAGCACTACCAATGCTCCTAAAATTGCGTCGGTCTGACTAAGTAAATCTCGGGATGCTATTCTGATATCTGTAGATGAAGATGCAATAGCATTTGTAGAAGTTTGGCTAGTTTCAATATTGTTCTTATCCCTACTTTTCGGTGTTGCAAGTCCAAACTCAACATACTTTTCTTCTGCTGATCTACGCAATTGTATACTCATGTTGTTCAGCAAATCAAATTTGTCCCAACTTTCAATCTCAGGAAGCGATACACCAAGCTTCAGGAACACGGTTTGATTGATGATGTCAGTAAAGGCTTTCCAAAAATATTCAGCCTGTATAGAGTCATTTTTTTTCTGCTCCATCAGATCATTATTTCCATCTGCTTCATCAACAAGAGGGGCAGATGAATTATTCACATTATGAATCTCGTGTCCTACCATTGAGCTCTGTATAATATTCTCTTTCTTTGGGGCTTCATTTGAGCTATGAATGCCGTTTAAAGACTCTTCTGGTTCATGAGAATCATTTTTGCCATTTTTAGAAGCGTGAAGACTCTTGACATAATTATAATTAAATGACTTCAATTGTCCAAACGCAGACTCTACAAATTGACTAACATTCAAGTTTTCTGATCCAAGAACCATTCTGAGAGCAGAACCCAAATTACTCTTCAGAAGAAAATCAGAGACAAAGGGTATTCTCCACCACTGTTTTTCTTCATAAATTTCATCAAAGCTCTTATATTTGATCTGTGAAATAAAGATCAATTTCACAAATTACTGATGCAGTCAGAAAGCTGTTAATATTAACTGTAAATCTCAATATAAAAAAGAAAAAAATAATTGCAAGAATTATAAAACCAATTAAGAATCAGGATAAAGAGTAGCTAAGATAAATAAAATGTAAATAGCAAGTTGCAAAAAAAACTTAATCCTAAGTTTTTTTAGCCTCAGAGCAGGTGACCAATCTATCACAACAAAACATAGAAGTTAGGCCCTTCATACAGACGCAGGAGTTTAGTTTAATTATAAAAGGTATCTAATATATCTGTAGAATTTTTTAGGAAGATGAAGATGTTCTTGAATGAGAGGGAGAGGGAGGAGAGGGAGAGAGACATAATTTGGAGGAGAAAAATCTATAATAAAGCTTTATTAAAATTTTCACCAATTGTTACATCACATACAATCTCTATTTATAGAGATTTACAATGGTGTGATAACATGCAGGAACACAATAACCTAAAACTAAATCAATTCATTACAATTTGCACCTTGATTTAGTTTTAGAAAAAAAATAAAGAACCACCCGGTCACAAGAATTAGAATTTGTTGCAATCCGACTGATCGCCTCGGACCCCCGTGTGCGCTCTGACCTGCGACTCCGCACAATCCACCTGTCCGGTTCAAAATTCTCGACCATCTTGCCGCCCCAAGGTTCTTGATCTGCCGTTCCAACAAATGATCCGAAAACTCCACCTGAATATGAAGCTTCACTCTGAATCCATAGCTCATCTCACAAATTTGATTCCAAACTTGTAAAACCCAAAAACGATGTTAATAGGTCGTCGCACATTTTTCAAAGCGTCGCGACGAGATTTATGTGAAATTTTCAACGTTAACGGAATTTAACGAAAATAATTTTAGAAAATTTCTTGCGAAATTCTGATCGTTTTGATATATAGAACTTGTACCTAATTTTACCTATATTTGGAATTAAAATTTAACGAAGTTTAAAAATACCGATTTTACCCCTTTTGTAAATAGAAGGCTAATTTCACTTAAGTGAAGTCAAATGGGTAAATAGCAAATCCTATTCTCCCTAAATGAACAAATCTGCCCTTCTCCTCCTCTCATTTCACGCGTGAGGGACGAACCAAGCGGAACGAACACGGACGGGCGGACGGCGTGGCTAACGCGAGGGCTTTCCGGTGATGATCTTCCGGCAAAAGTTTTAGGTCAAATCGAAGAGGACGACGAGAGGAACACTCGGGTACGATTATTTTAGAACGAAACTTCCTAAATCTCAAGTTATTTGAGATCGAAAAATCTAGGGTTTTTCTAAATTTCGATTTTCTTTCGCAATTTCTTTACGAAAACTTTAAGGGAGGATTAGAGGAATGTTTTAGCAATGAAAATGAAGAGATTTAAGGGAATTTTGGAGATTTAAAATTTAGGGTTTTTCTTAGTTTTTGAATTATGAGAAATCTCCTTTACAAAAATTATTCTTAAAGATGTTAGGAGTGTTTTAAAGCATTAAATTTGATTTTTTAGGAAAAATTTCAGTTTTGTAATTTCCATAATTTAATTAAATCCGAAAATTAATGTTTATTTAATTAATTATCCTTTAAATGTTGTAAGGAATGGTTAAAGGGGAAAAATGCCGGGTTTAGCAATTAGACTTAGGAAATTTGATTTTTTAATTATGTGACACGTCTCTTTTGTAAACCGCTTAGGTTCTGACCATTAAAGGGTAAGGTGAAAGAACTGTGTCAAAGCAGCGTGTCATACTTGGGTTGAGGTAGGTGTTCAGACCCCAGTTAAATTTATAAGTGCTTTAAAATTTTTATGCTTAGAATGCAATTTCATATATTTATTTTCTTGTCAAATATTTTATTTATTGTCAAATGTTTTGATATTCATGTTTTAAAAAATACCCTACAGTTTCATGCTCTCATTTCATGCATTATTTGAAAAGCAATTAAGGTATATGAATAAATGAAATAAATATGAAAGAAAATTTAGCATGATTCAAAAATTTAAAAGCAATAACAATTTCATGTTGCATGTTGATCCGGAAGTGCCAAATTGGTAAAGGAGCTCTTTCGAGCATTGGTAAAGGAGGCTCATATGAGCCATGATAAAGGATGGTTCTTATGAACTAATGGTAAAGGAAATGGCCAAATATTTGATTGCGTACCTGATCAGTACGAATAAGTGTACTTCCGAGACGGGTGATACATTTAGCATAATCATTTTTGCATATTCATTGCATATGAAAAAGGTGAAAGGAAAGACTGAAATGAATGAAATATTAAAGAAAAAAAATGCAAGAAAAATTGAAAAGTTTAAAGGTTGTGACTTGCAAAATGATATGAAATAAATTAGTTCCAATTGTAAAAGAGTTTTATTTATGCATCTTATGAAATTAACTGAGATATGAATTACCTGCTGAGCATTGGCTCATCCTACTTATGGAAATGTTTTTCAGGAGAGAAGTGATGGCTGCACGACGACCGTTCACGTATCGTCGTAGGGGACCTCAAGATGGAAGGTTCCTTTTTATGTTTTTAAGTTTGAGTCTGAGATTATTTTCTATGGTTTGAGTTTGGAGTTTATGTAATTGTGAGAGTTTATGTTATGATGATGGGTTTGAAAGTTTTAATAGTTGTGAGACAATTGAACAGTTTGAAACAATTTATTTTTGATGTCTTAGTGGCTCTTTCATTAAATGTTGGATGACATTTTTGTACTGATGTTAATCATATATTGAATTTGATTATGTTTTATATGCTCTTCCGTACGACTGTCTGTTCCCGCCCCGTTATCGACGGGCTAGCCGGGCCAGGTCGTGACAAAACTCATCGTCCCAGAAGAAATCTCTAACCGACTCTGGAGTTGCGTCCTCAAAAAATAGTTATGCTACGATAGATTATTGGACTAGTCTCAGGTTCATGGTGCCAAGCTTGGCAACTCATGTTTGATGTGGTTCGCTTTATTTGATTTTGCCACATCATATCTCCATCCTTACCATTTAGAAGATGAATCAAGTGTTCCAAATTCTTATATGTTACTGCATCTTTATGTGTATCAAATGCTCCGATACTCAAGAACCCCGCACCATCTCTTTCAACTGGTCGTTCCTCGCCTGCGGGGGGCTCTTGGACCTTAGCCTTGAAGCTAGACCACAACTTGCAGAAAACAGAGAAAGCAGATAGCACTGTGAGCGCCAACCATAGTCTTAGTGCACCAAGACCTAGCGGCACAATCATAAGAACCGAATTATGCTACGCAGACCAAGGAAAACGAGCCCCGTCCACATGTAGCTTGTTCTCGCACGCCTTCCCGCCTTCGACTTGATCACGGCACCAAGCCGCTTCGCCTTGCCCGCACGAGTCCGCCCGCGTGCATTCACCTGCGTGGGTCTGCACGTGTCTACTACGCCCGATCTTGCTTGGTCGCATCAATGGCATCAACTCTTCTCTTTCTTCCTCGAGATCGCCTCAACGAGGCTCTGATACCACTTGTAGAATCTTTAAGGAAGATGAAGATGTTCTTGAATGAGAGGGAGAGGGAGGAGAGGAAGAGGGACATAATTTGGAGGAGGAAAATCTATCCTAAAGCTTTATTAAAATGTTCCCCAATTGTTACATCACATACAATCTCTATTTATAGAAATTTACAATGGCGTGATAACTAGCAGGAACACAATAACCTAAAACTAAATCAATTCATAACAATATCACAAGAAAATAATTATCTTTCTCTTCTACTCCAGCTCCCATGAAACTTGTTTCAAGAAAATAACATATTACAAGCAAAAGCAAAATATAGATCAATATTACAATTTTTAAAACAGAACAAAACTGAGAGCGGGCTGGAATTACATTTTACACATAAGAATAATCACATCATTGAGAGCTTATTAACAATAGTTTTTCAGCGCAAAGAAACCTTAATGGAAACCTTTAGCAACAACATTACTTTCATATAAAGTTGGCTCAAGTAAAATGTTACAATTCATCAAAACTAAATAATTAATCAGGTATTGATCCAATGTTTATTTATGAAATTCTTGAGAGTAAATTTGAGCAAAAATGGGGCTTACCTCATGGAAGAGAGTGTAACGAGTAGAAAGAAAAAGGATTTTCGTTACATTAATTTGCGCTCTATTAATTTGCGCTCGAAGGTGTTGTTCAGATACTGAGCTGTTTCTACAAATTTTTAGAATTCTTTCTTTCATTGGTTTATCATATCAAGATCCTTAAACCCAATGGAATAACATTCGGTAAAGTTAGTGAATATAATTATGACAATGATGATGATGATTGCAGTATCAAGATGAATGTGATATTTAAGATTAAGGTTTCGTTCGGGACAATTTTTTTACTATTTTTTAAAGCAGATTTTTAGTACAAAAATTTTATACTAAAAAAGTTTTTTAGAAAACAGTAAAAAAGTCACCCCAAATGAAGCCTAAGATAAACACGTACATGGAGATGTAAGAATATATGCATGTGCATAGGCATGCATGCATTGTATATATAGACAAGTAAAAAAGAAACTTCAATTCAACAGAAAAAGTCAACCAATTTACCTTTTAATTCCCTTGAACTACATCAATGAACAAAACACCTTAGATTCATAACCATTTGGAACCTAATAAAGAACATTCAGAATTATCATTAACTAATGAGTTAGTTTTGAACTGCAAACCACAAGTTCATTAATTTATACAATTTTTTATGCGTAAATCCAGCATTTGTATTTAGAATAATAGCAATGTTTTTTATTCAAACAAAGCTTCAACGACAGGTTTATAGATAGATAGATATAGACACAAATAGGACACAAATTAAAGGCGTCCTTTTTTCTTTTTTTTAAATTAAAGGCGTCCATTGTTCTATAGCCATATAGGTAAGATAAAGCGGATGATACTGATAATAAATATAAATTACCTCCAAATAGATCTTGCCGCAACCACCAATGCCCTCTAGTTCAACCATAACCTCATGTAAATTGCCTGAAAAGCTACAAATAAGTTAACATGTGAGAGAGGTTTTTTTCATGCAAGGAAAAGAAAGACTATAATTTGTATTTGCATCTGCCTCTTTCCATTATATTTAAACTCAAAGTTATATCGTTGATTAAAATCTACAATATAAGAATTACATATGGATCGAGATTCATTAATTTTCTTGATGATATAATCATTCATCAAGCATGTAAAAAATATATGTATGACATACACACACACATATATATATATATAATAGATATATATATATATATATATATATATATATATAGGATTAATCCATATTGCTTTTAAAAATCTTAACCTCAGAGGTCTAAACGCATCAATCTTAGCTTTAGTCAGAACAAAAGTTCCATTAAAAATATTACCATAACCAAAATTTACAAGTTATAATTTAAATTTAAAAAAAAAAAACCACTAAGCTTTATATAGAATAATCAAGCTTATATTGGATAAACCCATGCCATATATAGCCAAGCTTTGTATCAGATAACCCATTATTTCCAAAAATTCATGTACAGGCAGCCAAGACATAAAACAGAATTTGATTAAGTATTTTCATGAAGTCACAAAAATCATTGGTGTTGTCATGAAAATAATCTACTCCAAGTTGTTTTGATGAAAATGCATACAATAGTGTTGTTTTTGCTCCTTGAATCAAATTTTAACCACACTCCTACTTAATTCAAATCAACACGCATTCCTTATTAAAATTTTGTCAATATAACCTTCCCCAGAGTGTGAGAGGTCACCATGAATTTTATAGATGAGTTACCAAGATCTGAGGGGTTTACAGTGATTTTGGTGATGGTGGACAGATTGAGCAAGCATGCTCATTTCATTCCCCTATGATATCCATACACAACAATAACAGTAGCAGCATCATTCATCATAAAGGTAGTTAAATTGCATGGGATACCAAAGTCTATAGTGTCCGACTAAGATAAGGTGTTCCTAAATCATTTTTGGAATGAGTTGTTCAGACAGTAGAGGACAGAATTGAAGAGGAGCATCGCTTACAATCACTAGATAGATGGGTAAACCAAGATGGTAAATAGGAGCCTTGAGATATTTGCTTCAGAAATACCTTGCTTGTGGGCCAAGTGGCTAGCATGAGTGGAGTACTGATACAACACTTCATATCATTCAGCTTCACAGATAACTCCTTTCAAAGTGTTGTACGCAAAGGACCCACCTCAGTTGGTGCACTTTGGGCAGAGTAGCACACCATTCTCGTTAGTAGAGCAGCACTTGGAAGAGAGGGATAGCGTGTTGGAGGCATTTGTTAAGGGCTCAGTAGATCATGAAGCAAGTGGATGAGCGGTGGAAGAACATCCAGTTGAGATAGGGGATAGGGTATACTTAAAACTTCATCCCTATAGACAAATGACGGTAGCTAACAGGAAAAATGAAAAGTTGGCCCTGAGGTATTTTGATCCTTCTGAGATATTGAAGAGGATTGAAGCAGTAGCTTATCGCTTGAAGTTACCCCAGACTGCTACCATACATATGTTGTTCAACGCATCATAGTTGAGGAGAGTTATCAGGGGTCATGCATCCCAGTAGAGTTGCATGTGATACTGACAGAAGATTTAGATGTGATATGAAAACCACTAGAGCTGAAAGAGGTACGACAAGGAGAAGGAGAGATCAAGGAAGTGCTGATAAAATTGAAGAATCTACCCGAGTATGACACCATATAGGAGCCATACGAGAGGGTAAAGCATCAGTTTTCATCCTTCCACCTTGAGAACAAGGTGTCAAGCCCTACTGATTGATCTTTCACTATATGCTCTCACCCTGCAGTCCTCTATCCAACAGTATGTTTGAATTATCCTGCACCATAATTAGTTCTTCCTCTGAATCCCCTCTGAGGACAGTCTTCTACCTTATGTTCCTACCATCCACAGTAAAAACATCGCTCTGTCAACAAGTAGCATTGACTCGAAAGTCGTCGACCACAATGAATACACTGATCATAGCCACCGGTAGATGCTATCGATCTAGATCCCCTTGAATCACTATAGTGACTTTTATTATCATTGTCTCTATCTCCTTGTCTCATCTCTGCTCCTCCTACTGACATCATATCTAGAGCCCACCTCATATCTAAATGTTGGTGCTGTCAAATCAATCTCTATCAGTCTAGCCCACTCCACCAATTTAAAAAACTTTTGAATTCGTAAAGGTACTAATGGATGTCTCAACTCCCTATTCAACCCCTGCAAAAACCTATAGCCCTTTGGCTCATCAATAGGGATCAAGTGAGAAGCATACCTAGTCAGTGCAATAAACACAACCTCGTGCAGCATCAGTATCTGGCATCCCTGCTCTAACTTGATAAATGTTTTCTGCATCTGTAGTCGGGCTGAAGGAGGTACAAACAACATTGAACATTCTGAATATAACAGTAAATTCATCCCAAGTGATATCAACATTTATTTTCCCCTAAAATTTCTCTCTGTTGTTTAACTCACCATCTCTCAGCCTCTCCTTCAAAGAGAAATACAGCCAATGACACCTATCTATTCTCTAGACATTGCATGATGTCGCGGACGCCCTCAGCCGCCAAGCCGCTATGATAGCTCAGCTTCAAACCAAGATTACCGACCTTCGATGTTTAAAGGATTTATATCCTGAAGACAAAGATTTTGGTGAAATCGGGAACCTATGTGCTAATTCCAATCCAATAAAAGATTATTCAATCAGGCATGGGTTTTGTTTAAAGGGAACCTTTTATGCATTCTTGACTCTTCATGCCACCAACAAATCATCAGAGAAGCTCACGGTGGGGGACTAGCAGCGCATTTAGGTAGAGAAAAAACTTTCAAGCAACTGCAATCAAGATTTTTTTGGCCTCGACTACATAGAGATGTAATGAAATATGTTGAACGGTGCTCTATTTGTCAAGAATTGTCAAGAATTCAAGGGTGTGAACCAATACACAAGATTGTACACGCCATTACCGGTGTCAAACTCCATTTAGGAAGACATAAGTATGGATTTTGTATTGGGTCTACCTAAGACCAAGCACGGCACGGATTCCATTATAGTAGTTGTTGATCGATTTTCGAAGATGGCGCATTTCATAGCATGCAAGATAACATTTGATGCAGTTAATGGTAGCTCGAGTTTTCTTCAATGAGTTTGTTCTCTTACATGGATTTCCTCGCAGTATAGCTTCAGATCGAGATGTGAAGTTCATCAGCCATTTTTGGCATGACTTATGGAATTGTTTACGTACCGAGATAAAGCTCAGTTCGGCCTATCACCCACAAACAGACGGCCAAACCGACGTTGTTAATCGCAGTTTGGTAAAAATGTTGCACTGTCTAGTTCAAAGTAGACCAAAACAGTGCGACAAAGTGTTGGGGCAAGCTGAGTTTTCCTATAATTCAATGACAAATAGATCCACGGAGGGTTCGCCTTTCAGCATTGTGTATACCAAGGCTCCAAATCATCTTCTCGATATTGCAGTTTGCCTAAATGCCGCACGCCAGCTGCTACCCATTTCACCGACAGTAAAGCTCTGTTCTTCGGGAAGTTAAGGATAAACTCATGGAATTTAATATGAAGTATAAACATGTTACTGATGTTCATAGACGCCGGCAAGTGTTCGAACCAGGAGATCTATTGATGGTTCGACTCCACAAAGAGCGTTTTCTAGCTGAACAATATTCAAAACTTAGCCCGCCAAAAATTGGATCAATTTCCATTAGAAAGCGTATCAAGAACAATGCCTATATCGTTGATTTACCGCTACTCATCAAAACCTCTTCCACCTTCAATGTCTCCGACATACACCCTTATAAGCCTCCATATGAGCTTGATACAATCAGTAATGGTACTGTCGCTTCTTTGTTAGCAGGGGAGACCCTGATGCAGTGTGTCTCTTAATTCAGCTCAACCACAACCCTTATATTTCACTACTTATAATATTTCTTAGCTCCGCTACATAGTAACGGCTTTTGTCTTCTAGCTAAAATAGTAAATGTTAGCTTTTTATTTGCTTTGCAAAACTTTGTAAGAAAAGGGACCTAAGCCTTATATTGGCGGGGTAAAGACACAGAGAAGAATAGAACAAAGATTTTACAGTTTCTTGAGGAATTTTTGTTCCTATTTCTCTTTTTTCTGCTTCATTGTTTTCATTGCAAGTAACGGGATCCCTTGGTGCAGTTAGCACATCAAGTATAAATTATTTAACCTCTGACGAATAGCTTGTGACTTTGACAGTTATATTTTGATCAATTATTCAGCATTCCAATAAGCCTTGAACAACAAGCATAGGCGAAATCTTCGGAGGCGAGAAAATAATGAATGAATGGTATTAAATAAAATTCTGAGAATCGATGACAAGAAAAAGGCATCGAGCTCCATTCTCACCATCACAAATAGATTGAAGGTTGACCAATCCATTACCCATGCGTTTATGCGGTGTCACCAGATTAGCATCCCAAGCATTAACCTAGACAATATCAATTATCATAATATTTGTCATGTAAGTTAATGCCGATCATCAGAGTATTCTGGCAACTTCCTACCAAGATAAATGGACACATATGAAAATGTACTAATGTAAGCATCATTTTTCTTGAAAATCTTGTGATGCTTTAAAAGGGTATGTATGTGTGTGTTGCTTTGCCACTTCTACGGTACTTAAGTATGACCGAGCAAAAAGAAAAGGATTGAAACTCCAAAAAGAAACCTGACTACGAAAAATAATTGCTTTTTGAATGTTTTCTTTATGCATTCGAAGGATGAAATAGTTTATCAACATGATCAACCAAAATAAGGATACAAGAACATGGACACTGGAAAAGCTGGAAGCCACAAGTGGAAAACTGTACCTCAAATGCATCTATGTATGGAGAAAGAACAAAAACGACAAAGAAAAAACAAACAAGAAAAACAAAACAATTAATGGTTCACTTTTTACTGTTCATGGACCATACCTGCAATTTTTTTGCTGTAGCTAACTTGATGTTGAGGGTAAAGTCCTCATTCCATGTTGGATCCGTTGACCTACAGACATCAGCATATAACTGTATTGCCATTAAAAATCAATATATAATGACAAGTTGAATATAAACAAAGAGAGAAGAGAAATCCAAGTGAGATTACAATTAATTAATTATTTCTTCAGCCTCACTTGAAATTAGAAAAAATCTGAAATTTGTGAAATCAATTGTTTGGTCGACCGTTGAGTATAGCTATAAATCAACATTGTCTCTGAGCTTCACAAAACCCTTTTAAAACCTCCATGAATATAATGATTTCAATTTCACAAAAGTGAAAACAAAATCACTATTTTCTACGTCATGTATCTTCAAGCAATCAAATGAGCTCCTTAGGAGAAGCAAGTTTTTTTTTCTCTTCGTTCAACATGACTAAAGTACTATAGATCATAAATAATCAACAAAACTTTGTGCATTAATCATATAATGAAATAGGAAAAAATGTGCCCGAACCCTACCTTTTAAGCAATGATTCTATACTTCATGAGGTAGATTAATTTTAATTAATCAAATTTCCCTCGATATTTATATTATGGTTTATTTAGATCTTGGATCTTAGCTTCCTATGTCCACAAGCCCTCACAGTTAATTAACCCTCCCACTCATAGAAGAGCACTCTTGATTAAAGGTGACTACTTTCATATGGTTTTAAATTTAAGGTTAGTACTCTGAGATTTGTTGGGATTAAGGAGATGTTTGTGGGTGGGTGAGCTTTTTAACATAGGAGTTGGCTCAAATATGATTTGAGTTTCGGCTTACAGCCACTAGAAGGCCCTAATTTAATTAGGCCAGGGTTTATTCTCTACTTAAGAGTTTCCCGGATTGTAGGTCTTACAACATAGCACTATAGCCACATTTGGTTGAGGTACTGGGGATTACGTCCCTTGAAATAACCAATGGCTTATTTGGGTTGGGGCTTACTGCTTAATTTAGGACTTACCAAAATGGTGGGTTTTAGAACCTAGCACTAAGAATTAGTATATTTGTGTTAAAGTGAGGCATACATCTACTAGAATGCATGATAGTTGATTTAGGATAGGACATATCCATTGGAATGCCAAGAGTTGATTTGAGAGGGCTAACATATTTTGGAATGCCCAAAATTAGAATTGATTTGGGACTTAATTGGAAACCACAACATATTTTATGAGGGAATTACAGATACCTAAAAGGTTTAATTAGCATGGTGCTTACATCCATTCGAAGGTCCAAATTTAATTAAGATGAGACTTACTGCTTTGTTTATGAGTTGCTCGTATTTAATTAGGATGGGGCTTACTACTTTGTTTATGAGTTGCTCAAATTGTTTGGTTTTCTAATCTGATATAGCATCATTAATAGTTATAACAATTTTGTGATGAGGACATCGGAAGATCAATGGCTACGATCTAGAGCTTATTTTATTTTATTTTATTTTTATGTCTTATGTACTAGTTTATCTTATATTACTGTTTTTCTCATTTCACCCTTGGGAGTGGTCATGTAGTGTTGTAGCCTGAAGGGCGTTTTAGTCTTTATTATTTTTCTTTTTATGAGGCCTATTTATAGGCTAACTCTCTTGTATTGGACGATGATTTTGATAATGAAATTTTATGTGTTTTTCTTCTTCTTCTTCTTGTGAGTGCACTAGAGAGAAGGGAGAGAGAGCTCGAGGTGAGCAAGCGCAATACCCACCAGCCGTTGGAAGAGTCCATGGCTCGTGGTTAGTTTACTTTTATCTTATGTGTATTTTCTTTCATCTCCTTTCTCCAAGTCAATCGGCGGCCCTTTCAACCTCCGACACCCGGTGGCCTCAACCCCCCCCCCCCCCCCAACCCATTCATTCTCCAAGCTCCACCACCTAAATCACCACCAAACCTAGCCACAACCTGCCACCTAGCCTCCCCTTTCCCCCTTTGCCGCCGGCCCTCTCATAATTTCCCCCCTCATTATGATGATTTCAATCACCATAATGACTTTCTAATTTAGCTCAAGCATGAGAGGGAAAATTTGAATTCATTTGAAATTCAAATTAAATTCTTTCCATATAGGGAATTCCAAATTAGGAAAGTATCAATCATGAATTCAATTTCAAAATAAATCAAATGGAATTTATTATTCCCTTTCCTAATCTTCATCGCCTATTTGGAAACTCCCATATTTCCCTCCCCAATCCCCTCCACTCCTCATGATGCCGTCGGCCCCATGATGGGCTTCCCCCCTATTAAATGCTCATTTAATCCCTCAACCTTATTTGAAATTTGAATGTAATTTCAAAACATTTTCACTCAAAATCCACTTAAGCTGAGTTAATTTCAGTTTTCCAATTCCCCCTCCTCTCTCTTTCAATACAAGGCTGGCCCACCCCTCCTTTTCTTTATTTCTTTCCCATAATGACATCCCAATAAACTCCTTAATTTGGAATACAATTAATTCATAACGAATGGATCTTTTCCCGCTATTGATTGTGATTACCGGAAAGAAAATTTCCTACTCTCCCTGTAGCCTGAGCCGCCCCTCCCTCCACCCCCTTCCCTCACATTTTCTTCCCAGGAAGGGATTCTTAATAGTTGTCCAAAACTTACAGCAGAACCATCCTGCTGTACAACTTCTCTTGAAGGTCCGTCTTGCTGTCCAAGATCTTACCGACATGGCAAATGGCTATCCCGCTCCACGGGTTGCTGTTTGGTCTGTTGTTTGAAGAGCATCAGGAGATTTCGGCAAGTTGAACGGCTGCCCTACTCTCCAAAAAACCCCCTGTTTGCTATCCTGAAGAGTCACAGCTGTTGTTCCAAGATTCGAGCAGTTTTCTAGTGCTGATTTGCCATCCGGAAGGCTCTCATTTGCTGCCCAGAAGATCCTATGCGGCCGTCCACACGCAGGACTTCTTCGAGATCAACCCCCGAACTCCGGGTCTTCTCCCTCCCACCCCAAATCAGATCTGAGAATTTGACGATGGTGAACTCTTCCCCAAATTTCTTATCTTCCTAGTTGCTCTCAATTATGGTTTAGTCGATTCACATTGATAATGTTAATTCTCATCTGCTATAACCTAGTGAATTAGGTAATTGAGTGAGCGGATTCTTATAGTAACTAAACTCATTGTTAGTTTAGGGATCATCGTTGAAAATCAATCATGTATGCAACGTTAGATTAAATTGTCCGTTTTACGATCTTAACTCCTTTGTATGTGATTTAACATAAGCTTGTTTTACCGCTTTTTATGTTTTAATTTGTCGTTTATAATCAATATAAAGCTTATAATTATTGTGCTCTAAATATTAAGCGTGCAAATTCATTAAGCAACTCATCTTTGCATGTACGTTTCACATCAATTTTGGTATCAGAGCATGATTGCCCGGGATGCGAACTCGACGGAGTCAAGCTCTTTTTCACCCCGGGAGAATGATGCAGACATCCGACGGTGGATGATATTCAAAGGAAGAGTTGAAGATCGACGATCAAGATCACTCCATTTTATTTTAATTTATTACTTGTATTTTGATTTAATTTTACAATTTTTCCTTTTCACCCTTTTGTTTAAGAGTCTTGTCTTATATAAGCCCAAGGGGCAAATGTGTCTTTTAATTTTTTTTTAGGCCTATATATAAAGGCCCCTCCTCTTGTATTAGGCATGATGAAATTATAATAAAAAATTTGTGTTTTTGCACTTTTGTTCTTTGGGAAGAACCTTGGGTGAGATTCCAATGAGAGGAATTCATAGCTTTCACCAGCTGTAGGATCTGTCCGGGCTCGTGGCCTGAAGTGCCTTAGTGAAGGGCAACGTAGTACCCGTTAGCTGCAGGATGAGTCCGGGCTCGCGGTTGTATCTTTCTTTCCCTAAATCCTCTTCTCCTTCTCCCTTGACCGCCGGCCAAAATCCCCCACTTTCCACCAGCCCATTCTCCCATAAACCCTTCCACTTCCACAAAACCGACCTCCCCTTCTCCCTCCCCACGGCTTTAGCTCCGCCTCCAACACCCCCCGCAAACCTCCCTAGCTTCCAGTCTCTCCAATCCGCCGACTTCATCCCCACCATCACCCAAACCCACCCGCCAGCAATCTCTTTGCCTAATATCACTTCTCTCGTAAATTGCTTTTTTCTTATTTAGGATGTCCTTAATTCGGAAAGATTTCAAATTCGAATTAATCTAATTTGAATTTCAAATCCACCCTCATTAATTACAATAATTTTGAGAAGTTTCTTTTTTTAATTAATTAATCAATTTTGAAATTGATTGATTAATTAATCCCATATCCAAATTTCAAATTCTTTCCTAATTAGTACATCTGTTTTAGGAAGCATCTTTCAATCATATTAAATCTCAAATTATTTCATATTTAACTCTCTAATCTCCCATTAATGCATGGGTCCACATACATTATATGTGGACACTTGTTTCTCTTCCCTCCATTGGCCGGCCCACCTTCACTCCTCTCTCTAATTATTTATTCCCTAATTTACGGCCTAAAATTAAGGAATATTAATTACCTCTTCCCTCCTTTATACTTCTTGTTTGAAATTCAATTTTTTTTTTTTAAATCTCCCCCACCTCCTCCCGTTCTACATCATTTTGCTTAAAATTTGAGGAGTCAATAAGACCTTGACCGAACAAAATGGATAACAACTCAAACATACATATTTCAAATAAGCTCCAAAAAGGTAATTTTGAAAGGACATCATCCATGGAAAAATTTCTTTCCTAGATGGCCATGAGATATCTTATAACTTAATCTATATATGTTTAACGACATATCAATTAAATCTATCATCATATGATATAATATTGAGCTTTAAATTATAATAATATCTGAATGAAACAGGACTATTTAGTGATTATTAACAGGTCTTACAAAAGAGATTTTGTTGATAAGTTTTTATAAATATTGGTTTTCACATAAATCAATATTAAGGCCAGCATACTTCTTTGCTCACATTATTATGAGCTTCTCTAACGAGTTGCTACCATTAGCAGTCTAAACACCAGTGTATCACTTTTAAATCTTTCTTATTAAGGTTATAACATA